GGAGCCGGGGACAGGACGGGAGCCGGGGGCAGGATGGGAGCCGGGGGCAGGACGGGAGCGGGGGGCAGGACGGGAGCCGGGGGCAGGACGGGAGCCGGGGACAGGACGGGAGCCGGGGGCAGGACGGGAGCCGGGGGCAGGACGGGAGCCGGGGGCAGGACGGGAGCCGGGAGCCCCTGGGCGTCAACTCTCTGACTCTACCTAGGTCACAGAGCCAGGCGCACACTGCTTCCCTGCTGCACAAACCCGGACCTCTGTTTCACTGCATTTTGATCTCCAACACGCTAACCAACAAATTCCTCTGGAGAGGGGAGGGTGCATAGCTGTTCCAGGTGGGGCCTCTGAAGACAAGAGGGGGACCAAGGGGACCCCTGCTGCCACTATTGGGCACTAGAATCAAGTTCTAAAGCAACACACCCAAGGTTAACACACGTAGACAAGGAGAAGGAAGGAGGGAAGGAGGGATGGAGGGATGGAGGGATGGAGGGAGGGAGTCACTGACTTTATTACTTCTGAACTTTGCTTTAAAAAAAAAATTCACAGCATAGTTACTAATAAAAACTCCCTCCAAATGTCTTGTAAACTAGAAAGGAATGAGTGTGCTGAGAGATGTCTTGGCAGAAACCAAGCCTGCCTACTTCTTCAACATTCTACAGTCTGACTGGCATTTGAGCTTTAAGTCCAAAAGAATGTGAACGGTCAAGCCAAGTAAAAAGGTTCTGGTCCAAATGCCAGCTCTCACCCAAATTAACATTGTGTTTCTGCTAGTTAGTGAGCTCTTTTGAAAAGTGTCCAATTAGGTTAGGGAAAATGTGAGGGTGCCAAGTAGTGCTGAATCATACCCAATGGGCTCCATTGGGTGCTTCACACTCCGGTCTTTCCTAAATTTACAGAATAAAGATTCACCTGCCAAGAATCTTCACAGTTGTAATGCTCTGTATGCTAAAGGTGAACACAACTGAACTCTAAATCCCTGTAGCAACAATAGCCCTTCACCACTAAGCAGCATCCATGCCAGCTCACCAGGCCTGTGACGGGGCTGCTATAGTCACCCCATAGAGCAACTGAGAGGAGGCTGGCAGACTAGAGCAAAGACAAATCACCAGACAGGAAGTGGAGACGGCCCGTGTGAGTACAACTCTGGACAGACCCCCAAATCTTTACCCCACAGCCTGGGGTAAGGTTGAATGTTCAAGAAGTTCCGGAGAGTGTGGAGGGAGGGGACAGGAGGACCTGGTCATTTCAAGAACATCCAAATGTAAGGCTGTTTTTCTTGGTTGTTTGAAGAGAGATATTGGGATGGGAGCAGGCCTCCCCGTCTCAGAACTGTCAATTATAGAAACCAAAGCTTAACATAGAACAGAAGTGCTGAGAGCGCCTGGCCTCCTGGGAGGATTTGGCTTCCCTTAGAGGGATGAGAAGCTGGAGAGACAGCTCAGTGATTAAAAGCAGTGGCAGCTCTTGCAGAGGACCTGGGCTCCCAGCACCCACATGACAGCTAACAACCATCTGTAACTCCAGTTTCAGGGATCTGATGTCCTCTTCTGGTCTCCACAGGCATCGCATATACAACATGCAGCCAACATACGCATGCAGGCACGCACACGCATGCACGCAGGCACGCGTGCACAGAGGGATGTTGACCAGCAGACTTGGTCAAGTTCCCAAGCACCTAGTAGGGGTCACAAGGGACAGACAGAAGGAACAAAAGGGCCTGGCCATTCGCAGTGGGCATGCTAGACTTTGTCAGGGTTGCTCAAGTCTTCAGAGCAAAGCCCGAGGGGTAGCCTAGTACCCAGTCCAGTACCCAGCCCAGTGTCTAATCTAACCCAATCCATAACCCAGCCCAGCCCAGCCTACAGCCTAGAGCCCAGCCCAATACCCAGCCCAGCCCAGTGTCCAGCATCCAGCACAGCAGGCTGATGGCGGCGCCAAGTCTCATATTCTCTTTCCTCACATTCTACTGAAAATCCCATCACAAAGTCCACCCAACAGACCTGCACACAATGGCCACACAGCCAAGGGAAACACTGATTCTCCTGTCCACACTGCACATGAGCAGAGGGTGGGAGTGGAGAACATACTTGTGCTGCACTTCAGGTGAAACAACAGGCAGGGTCTGTGTAGCCTAAGACCCAGCAGTCAACCTGAGGAGGTCGGCGAAGGCAGAATCTGAGTGCCTTCTGGGGTTGGGCCAGAAGAGGGCGCTCCAGACAGCGTCACCCACCTTCCATTCAGCCAGGCATTTCTCCATCTGTGCACAAGGGCTACCATTTGCTTGGTTGGTATTTGAGAGCATTCACCTCTGAAAACACTTTGAAAGTCACATTCTAACCCACGTCTTCCAATGCTTGGGCCAGTGTCACTGAAGACCACAAAGATCCAGTCATCCACTCAACAAGCATTTCTGGTGCCAGCCACTGTCAGAGTGCTAACAGGAAGAGCATGAGCTGAGAGAGGTGGAGCACCTCTGGAACTCAGGGTGAGCCCAGCACAGATAAACTCAGAGGCGAGCCCAGCACAGACGTGGAGCACCTCTGGAACTCAGAGGTGAGCCCAGCACAGATGTGGAGCACCTCTGGAACTCAGAGGCGAGCCCAGCACAGACGTGGAGCACCTCTGGAACTCAGAGGCGAGCCCAGCACAGACGTAGAGCACTACAAGAACTCAGAGGTGAGCTCAGCACAGACCTGGAGCACCTCTGGAACTCAGAGGTAAGGCATCATAGTTGCAGAGTGAAAGCCAAGCCTGCAGCTTTCTGTGGGGATCTCACATTTGCATCTCTCTCCAGCTCCCTCTCCCTCTCCCTCCTTCCTTGGGGTGGGATAGAGCCCTGGGGCACATGCATGCTACTAAGGGCCCTAACCATGAGCTCTAATCCCAGTCCTTACATTTATACTTCTTTAACCTTCCAGTTGACCTCATGTTTCTGTTTGGACAATTTCCCAGAAAGTAGATCACTAGGAAGTCTGTAACTGCTAAGATATTCCTTCTCTAAGCAGAATCTGCTGTCCCAGGGCTAATTTTCCCTCCACAAAGGCCAACATACAGGCTGTGACACAGTGGTGACCTTCAGTCCTCTACTTCTGAGTAAGTAAAAAGCACTTTCCTGACCAAGATCACAAACAGCACTGTCCAACCTCTATAAACAGCCAGGGAACCGCGTGCTAGGAACATATACAGGACTATAAAAATATCTCCATGTGGAAACATCTGAGGTTCCACCCAGCCCCTCTCCACAGGCACCTGGGCATATTGTGGGGGACCAGGGAAAAGCCCCTAGTACCTTGAGGAGATAGAGGGCCTTGGTCGGTGCCTGGTCAGCAGGGTGAGGGACAGGGGCCTTGACTGGTATCTCGACTGAGTCTTGACTCACACTGCCTCAGTCTCCCTACCTGTAACAGTGACAAATAGCATGATCATCTGGAATTAACACATTGATTGAACCAAACAGCCTTTTCGTTTAACTCTTATAATAAAAAATAGAAACTAAAAGTAGAAGAATTATGAAAGTGCAAAAAGTTAACTACATAAAATACATCTGGCTATCTGGCACAGTTGCTGAAATTCCCTGCCTCCTGCCAGACCCTCCTTTATGTGGGAACTGGGCCCAGCCCTATGGCCCTGGCGTCTGAAGTAGAGGAGGAAGGGGTGGGGGCGGAAAGCCCCCAGAGGAGGGGAATCACCTGGCAGGACACTACTTCCTCAGAAGACACTGTTGAGGCTGGGAGCCAAGGGCTTCCCACCCTTGGAGCCTCTGGAAGCTTCTGAAACCTATGCTGGCACACTTGACCAGATTCCCAGAGCTTGTCCCCAGCTCCTTACAACAGAAAAGAACTTTGCAGGCGGTAGATAAAAACTATTATATATGCCTAAACTGATAAATTCAGAAACCTCTCAAGTTTATAAATTTCTCACAAGAAGAAATGTCCTCTACCAGAAAAGAGAAGTCAGAACCAACACTGTAAAGCTTTATTTTTAGCCTGGGCTTGGCTGCGTGTCCTGTTTCTTTTGTTTCGTTGAGGAAGTTTTTCCCATTCTCTGTTTAAGACTCATTAAGTGACATGATCATTATTACACATAACATAGGAAATATAATTCCTTTTATTCTAAAATCTATGCCTAGAACACTTGCACTCCAGGCTCCCTACAGTCTGGATTCTGGCTTAAGTGGGTGTGTAATTCAAGATGTACCTCCCCTCGATTCCCACGGAGGGACTCCAGCAGAGCCACCTGGGCCTCCATCCTTCCTAATTCCAGAGGCTCTACCTGCAGAGACACACACTGGCCCTTTCTAAGGCCAAAAACTGAGGTGGGCAACTGTGATGAGAGTCAATAGAAGGTTCCAGAAAGCAGCACTAAATTCTCTACAACTTATAGAGAGAACACTGCAAGCAATGAGAAATCTCTAGATGGAATTTTCCCAACAGTTGTGGACAGTGTTAAAAATCATTGACTGAAAACCAGAGATCACATCAGAGACATGGAGTGAAGCTCTGCTGGGATTCCCTCATCAGCTCCATTGGAAGGACCTTTGCACACAGTTATTTAAAGACAGAAGGAAAGCCTTACTCTGCCTCCCACCCTCTCAGTTCATGGACTATGCTTTTCTTAAGAAAGAAACTTCCAGAATTGCTCAAATTCGGCAAGATCTTTGAAGTCTTAACCTGCTTGTCTGGAGCTGGTTGTACAAGGGATCAGAAAGCATGTTTTTGCTTGTAGCTCACAGGCGTGCGGGAACGTGCACTGTAGCCCAGCACACCGCCTGTGCCGGGCCACCACAGTTCTATTGCCCTGCCAGTCAAACCCCGCCAGTCGAACCCAGGCCCAGCCACCAGGAAAGCTCCCCCAGATCAACTCCAACTAGACCCTCCCACAGGGAAAGGCAGGAAAAACATCTTTACTGAGTGCATCAAATGGAAAACAAGAGTTTCACAACTTGAAAATGGCATTAAAAATAAAAATAATAAAATATATATACATAAGAAATTATGACTTACCACCATCTGACACAGTTGCAGACTGAAAAAAAAGAGAGAGAGACATGAGTTAATTACACCTCATGACAACTCAGCGAACAGTGCTTTGCTTCATCCAGTCCATCTGAGAACACGACCCAAGGTCCTGGGAGGCTCCCAGCTACCCAGGTAGGTGCCGAGGGAAGGAGACGGTGAGTCAAGCCTTGGGGCTCCAGCTCCGCCCCAGCTGGTGACTCCCTGCAAGAGGAAGTTGCCTCATTTTCACTAGAAAAGAACAGATCCCAGCATGTCTGACATCACAGACTCATTACCAGCCTCAGTGATAACAGCTTGACTGAGACTGTCGGCTCTGGAAGGACACTGCAGTGAGGGAAGGGGCTGGTCAGCACCAGTCACTGTCGGCTCAGGCTCGTGCGTCTACCCAGCGTCCCCTCTACCCCAGGGTAAGCCCTGAGCCCTGAGAGTACAGGAATACCAGTTGAAGCAGGCAGGAGGAGTACCCCCCACCTTGGGGTAGGAGAGTAGCTACCACAGGCTCTAGGAGAGGCCTCAATGAGGGGCTAGGAAGAGTTAGGGGCTGGAGAGCTGAGAACTATTGGGTAGGAAGGCTGGCCGGCCAGGACTCTTCTGAGGGAACACTGCCTGGGCTCTTCTGGGTGGTGCTTGCTGTTGGTCAAGTGGCTGGTGAGTGGCCCAGCATAGGGCCCAGAAGGAAGAGGAATCAGGAAAAGGAGGCAGGGGCAGCAGATGGCCCCACTGAGGAGTGGAGCATGAAGCGGCCAGCATGGCCCTGGCTGGGGTCCTCAGAGCTGCCGTCCAAGGTGCAGGCAGCCAGAGGGCAGGTAACCAGGCAGTATGTGAGCAGAGCCTGGCTCATCAAATCTAGGTCTCCCTAGGCAGGTTTTAAAAGCCCTCTGACCAAAATCTAGCTAGGTGGGGTCCTACGGACATGCCAGTGGGAGGTAACCAAGCAAAAGGAGCCAAAAGAATGGGAGCTCCCAGGACCCATGGCCATGAGGCACCATCTACTCTCCCCGGGGAAGCCAGAGCACAAAATGCAGTCTCCACACTCTACAGCCTGGATTTTTGTACTTCCGGCTTGACTCTAAACCCCACCTCCAGGCCTACCTGGCAGCCAGTCATCCCTCTCTATCCATAAGCACTGCTTCTGAGGAGTCCTTCCATTCCCTGCTATGACTCTTGCTGCAAGGCTCAGAAGGTCCACCTTGGTGGCCAGCCTCCTCCCTTGACTAAGAGGCTGTCCTGGCATGTGGAGGGAAGCCACTTCTGATAGTGCCTACTCCAACCCATCATGGGGTCTGGACCCATAAAAATCCAGATCCAGCTGGGCGTGGTGGCACACACCTTTAATCCCAGCACTTGGGAGGCAAAGGCAGGCGGATCTCTGTGAGTTCAAGGCCAGCCTGGTCTACATAGTGAGTTCCAGGACAGCTGGGGCTACAGGGAGACCCTGTCTCAAAAAGACC